TTTAATCTCAGGCTTCTTATATTATAGATTGTTTTTTTTTTGTAAAGGTGAACGTTCATTTTGGCGGTTTATTAAGCGATTCAAGGCACACTGAAAATAAAATTTTGTTTATACAACGAAATCGCTTATTTTTTCTACGAATCCATTCGTTGTTTTCTGCAACGAAATAGATTCGTACTACGAAGCCAGCTTCAAATGTGTGACAAACAATGCATAAGGTTTAAGTACAACGTGACAAAAGGGGGGAGAGGGCGATTGATATTCTCTCAATTTTACGTGACGTACTTAATTCATGCTCCCTTAGACCTAAAACTACAAGGGACAGCCCTATGGGGTTGAAAGCAATCGTGACGTACGACTAAGTGATCTTATATAATAAATATTATTTGTTAACTGCAGCAGGAGCTTGTGTTTTGTGTAGGAATAGGAATTTGAGCAGGGTTATCTCTGTTTATACTCTTTAGTATGGTTATGATGGCCCTGAAAAGAACCCTTTGATATGAATTTTAGTTGGGACATGTGCAGAAATTTTACTCTTTTGGAAAATCTTGGTGACCCTGAAAAGAGCCGATGGTGGTACAGGTTTAAAGCTTTTGGAAGATGGTGATGACGTGTAGGCAGCTGGATCAGCAAATCGGACCGGACAATCCCATATTCTTCGGTTTAATGATTGGGCACTCGCAAGAGTCTCGGCCCGTCTGCGGCTGGACAGGGGTTGAACTGGTGTCTGCGACAGGTTGGAAGGCCGCAGAATATCAGTGCCCACCCAGATAAAGCTCGTCTCCATTTCAGTTTTTCTTGGTTACGCACTCGAATAACTAAAAATTTGGTAAATATTTAATCGAATAGCTTAAAAAATCTTTACGAATAATCGTTTATCGAATAATTGGACGTTTAAGCATTCCTAGAAAAAAGTGCAAATTCATGTCTTTTGGTGGCCATTCGTAAATCTCGAACAGTAGAATTGCAACCAGCAAGTGTAGCCCAAGAACCAAAAGCGGTGCGATGCTAGTTTTCATTGCTATGACGACGACTGATTTAAGGGGCTTTGAAGCAGAGGGGTGAAAGTCAATTCTCTTCATCGATTTCCTCTTTTGATGACCATGGCTTCGCTAGCCTATTTCGCATTATTTCTTCTATGCTCTTCTATCATCCAGAACAAAAAAGTATAATAGATGTGTTTGCCGTCGAGTTATTAACGAAACAGAAAGTCGATGAAGAGAATCGATCCAAATCACTTGCACACCTGCTTCCATTACAACTCTGGAAAGTATTTTGTGTGGTCGTTGGGAGCGTGTGGTTCTGAATATGGCGATGCGTGTGCATAATGTTACGCAATTCCATCCTCTCTATTCGCACACGCCAGGAGATCGGAGGCGAATGCATCTTCGACTTGTTTCGTCTACTAACGACTCTCTGATGACTGTGCTGGGGAAGCAGCAATGCTACATCGACATGTTTCTTCTAGAAACGATTCTCTGATGACTGTGCTGGGGAAGCAGCATATGATTGTACGTGATTGATGGATTTGTTATTTATTTCGAAGCTTTTGGACAATGCTTGGCATTTACCACTTTTTTCAATAGTTTCTTGTTAAAAATCAACAGTCAAAAGCATTGTTGGGTTGAAATATTTCTGATCGATTGGTGATAAAACTATTGAAATTGGTCCAGGGGCAGCTGAGTTATTAACGTTCAAAATCTATCATAATTTCGTTACATGTTCCATTTCCGGTTCTCACAAAGTGTACTTCCATTTAGAAATCACAGACGTAGCCCTACGTCAAACCTCACCCGTGGACCAGCTTGAATAACGTTTAAATTTGAAATTATTCGTCAAAACAGCGGAGTCGCTACTTTTCTTTCGACCCCGACTTTGAATCCTTATGCTCAAAAATAAGTCCGACTTCAAATTATGGTTGTTTAATCGGTTTTACCGGTAATACAGTGCCAGTATGCAACACCAAAATACCGGTTTTTAACCTTCTAAAAACCGGTAATTTAAGTAATTTTTATAATCAATGGTTATTGCTTATTAGTTCAATTTGAGCAATTATAAAGTTTACGTTAATTCTGAATGACTCTCATAAATCAACCAGTATCATATTAAAACAATAAAACAATCTTACGTTTTAAGCTATTTTCTTAAATATTGTATCTAAAACCAACTTTTTAAAACAGTATTTTGAACTAAAAACAGTCTCAATTTTCCTAGAAAAATGCTAAATATTGGGTGTCCCAGAAAGTATAAGCACACTTTCAACTCGCCGCCGAAATTTTCAACACCGATGATGTTTATCAACTGATCATCGATGTGTGTTGTTGTTTACTTATTGCTCAACAAGTTTGTGTGCGCAAAGTGCATTTTTCTTACAACATCATCAAAATGCGAGGCATTTCCCCGGAAAAGTGCAAACAGTCCGTGCACAAATAGTGCACTTTTCCCAACCTATCAGTAAGGAAGTTGGCGAACATGGAGGAAGTAAGTATCGGATCAGTCTATACCGGAAGTTTGATGAAGAAGTTACTTTCGAGGACACATTGAAATTTGGCCGTAAACTGGGACCAGTGGACCAGAAGATCGTCAATCTTTCTTTAATAAGAAAAGTGCCTCTGTTCGAGATTTGGCCAAAAAAACTGAGAACATCCAAAAGTACTCAAGTAACCAAAAGTTCCGCATTCAACGATTAAAATCACTTCCAAGTTCCGTAAAGTTCAAATAAAGTTCCGACCGAACCTTCAAGTTCCATAAAGTTCAAATAGAGTTCCGACAGAACTTTCAAGTTCCATAAAGTTCAGATAAAGTTCCGACAGAACTTTCAAGCTCCATAAAGTTCAAATAAAGTTCCGACAGAACTTTCAAGCCACATGAAGCAATCCGCACAAATCTTTATTAGTAACAAAATTTAATGTTCGTAAATATGAAATGATCAGTGGCCCGAATAAATCATAATTCTTATATTTATGCAGTGCATCAACATGCATAAAAAAAATTAAAAAGTAATTTCTGGATTCGAACCCGTGTATTCAGCATGCGATCTACGAACGCTAACGACTGAGCAACAAGTGTGTTGGAATACCATTCGGGCAAAACCAAATTAAAATTCATCAAGGTGTTGTGTTTCGTATTCAAGTCAGTCAACTGGCACTGAAAACTCCAACAGTAGGCGGGACAACAGCTCACTTTATTAGATCTCAGATGACGCAGCGGTTCGTGCTGGGGCTCTCACGCAGAAGGACTGGGTTTAATTCTTCAATCAGCTCCAATTCTACTACTAATGCTGATAAATCAATACACAATAATAGCTGCCTTTAGAAATAACTTTCTTAAAAGTGCGAGCAAAATATAGAATTGGTGTAGAGGACAAAAACCTGTTATAATTTATTTTCTAAATGTTCCGTTCAAGTTCCGCCAGAAGCTGCTTAGAATGTTCTTCAACTATGATACCGGAACTTTAAAGATCTTATAACGACTTAAAAACGAGGCTGCTTAGAATTCTATAGACCACCTCCAACCAAGCTGCTTGAGCCACAAATAGCCTTTTATCAGAACTTTTGGTTACTTGGGTAACGTCCAAGACAAGAAACGGACTGAAAAATATCAAGAAGCAGAAGAAGCCAAAACGGAGTCAAAAACGCAAAATGCCGCATTCGTCAAACAGAGGGCTCGGAAGCTATATCATAGCCTGGTGTGTAAAAAATTGGCGTGTGTTATCATGAACATACGTCAAATTTGACCACAAGCCGCTTCCGGGAGAACAATACTACACAGTCCGTGATGGTCAGGAATAGAGAGGGTCTAGTATAAGAGAGGACCGGATTCAAAATTAACTGCCTTGGCATCCTAAGCCTAGGTAGTTTCTTGCAACGCTGCAAGATAGGCACTGCTCGATTGGCTCTGGCTTTGACAGTTCGTTTGGCTCAAAACCAGCCAGTGCGCTCCTCTCTAGTCAGGAAGTTGACGATGCCGATAGGAAAATTTTTACCGGTAAGAAGGCCATGGTTTGGAAAGCGATATGTGAGTATGGCAAGTTGTCAAAGCCATTTGTGACGAAGGAGACGAGAACACTGAAATTTGCGTTTGGGGGCGTGTTTGAATTGGCGTCTGCGGTCCATGGTCCGCAAACAAGATGGCCCAGTACTATTTTTTAGTTACTGTAACTTGGTACAAAGTAAACAAAGTGTAAAAAAAATGTGCCAAAAAAGAACAATCGTCTGAATTGTCCGGAGGCCCGGTCAGCTTAAACTTTTTGGTCCCTTTCCCTTTCAATCGAAGAATTTGAAAAAGACTGGACAAAAGTGGGCAAAATTATCGCCAAGGAATCTCTGCTGAAGCTCATGGGCAGCGTCAAATCAAAAGTTCGATCCTTGGCGTACGATTAAAGGAACTGCGGATTATTTGAAAGACAATACTATAGAGAACATATATATAAAATAAAAATTTGAGTTCATCAACAATAATAAACTGTGCTCATACTTTTTGGGACACCCTTTATATCTCTTCCGGAAATGTTACGCTGTGTATTATCAATAAATTAAAAGAAATTTCCAATTGAAGCTGATGGGAACTTGTTGGAGAGGTTGGAAAAAACTCCAAGATACAGAGGAACCCTTCACATTGTAAACAAAATAGGTGTATCTGTCAAGGATAAGCAGTTAGGGTAGTGGAATTAAATGGAAATTACTAATCTTTCTCTCTTTTCCTATAAAAACAATAACTTGGCGTTGATGAAGAATAAAAAATGCGTATTTTCACGAAAACAAAATTTGACGAAGATTTGGTATTGAATTGCTATAAATTGATTAATTTTAATAGCTGATAATAAGATCTAAAACTTAATAATGTTAAAATATGATGAATCTATCATAGACTTGAAAATGTTGTATAATGCATTCAAATTTAATTAAATTGTTGGTGAAATCATTCAATGATAGCATTTACAGCTTTCGGATTCGGAACTCAATTGGATTGATTCACTAAATAAAAATCAAAGTACTCACATTCGATTGAAAACATCATCCTCCCTCGAAGCTCGTACCAAAACAGTCCTCCACAGGCCAAACTTCTCCGATCTTAACATTACTCTAAGCGCACATGGGTGTATCAACATATCCGGCCGTTGATGCAGAAACGTGCGGTTGTCGGCGGCAAACACACGAAATGGATGAATGAATAAACAAATGTAGAAATTTGAGATCAGGACCTTGCATCATCGAGATATCGAACCGTCAGACACCATCGCCGCCGGGTGCTGTTCCGAGCCGGCAAACGACCGTCACGTGTCGCTCCCCACGCCGAGCAGGGTGTTCGCGGCCGGATCGTTCGCTTTGGTAGTGAGCACACCGATCTTCACCGCCGCTGCTTTGGTACTTTTCAGGAAATCCGAACCCGTCGTGATCGTGGTCGTCGTTGTCAACGGCGGCGGGGATTTGGTGTAGTACTGGGGTTGACTTAGAATGTACGATGGCGCAGGTTTGGTTGCGATTTGGCTCGATTCTAGTAGTTCGTGGTACCAGTTGAGCGGATTGAAGGTGGGCCCTTCGCCTCCTAGCTCCGTGGGGAGAATGTCACGGGCGACGCAGTCATGCAGCGTGGAGAGGTTTCCGCCGTGCAGCTTTATCCGTTCGCGGGTTTTCTCCTTGAGGAAGGGCCTGATTACGGCTAGCGCCGCCTCGACGTACCACGGTTGACCGATGAAGTGAATCGCTTTGAAGCGTACCGGGAAACAGTCCTGTGGAATTTGAGAAGAAAATAGAATAGAATATCAGCGATCGCAGGCGATCGGCAGGGCTTGGTGGATCGGCTTACCTGTAGGCCTTCGATCATCAGTTTCAACACCTTAGGATTCAAATTGGACGACTGTCGGAATGTGAAGTTGGTCCAATCCACAATCGCAATGAACCCGTTCGCCTGATTCTGTTTATCCTCCAGCAGCTTTTCCAGCGATAGCAACATCGCTCTGTACACCGTGACTAGCGAGTAAGATGAATAATCCCAATTCCCAGCAAGGAATATCAACACTTTCCTGCCTCGTCGATCCCTATTCGGTAGCACTCCCGGAAATCCATCCCTCAGTGCCAGCTGTATATTTTCATCCAACACTGATAACCTCTGCAACAGCGATCCATTTCGTTGTCGATATGCATGATAATTAATCACTAATTGAAACGCGTCGTTCACATTAAACTTCCGCGCATACAGAAATCGAAGCAAAAACTCATCGTCCTGAAAGCAGGACTTATCTTTTAAGGCATAATCCATGCTAGCTCCGATCAGCTCCTTCAGCGCTATCAGAGCCCGACTCCGATCCGTGGGCTCATTTTTGTTGTAACCCTTCAGATCCGATATGGTCAGATTGTGCCGGAAGCGGTTGTTGGACCACTCGAAATCACAGATGTCGGACATGATTGTGCCTTTATTTTCACTGCGAAACCCAATCGCGTCACTACACTCGTCACACTGGTGGAGATTTTTGTCTTCCCTTATCATCAATCACTAATCCTGTAATTTAATTCCAACCGCGTGCACGCTATCTCACTTCACCATCGATCATTATCTGTTGCTATTTATCTACGAAACGAAAACACCCGAAAAAGGACGGTCACCACTTTCTGTCGCCTCTCAACGTGCCCCGCAGCTCAAGTCCATGATGCCATTTTGGGTTTACTGAGGCTTATGATTTCTTCGTGCTGTTTTCTTTTCCTCTGCTTATCTGACGCCGGTTTTAGGCTGCCGTCGAAGTGTTAAAAGGTAGTAATCCACGATTGATCAGAATCTTGCTCACGAGACACTTTTTTTTCGTCGGAAGCATTAGCCGTCGTCTGGTTCAGGTGGATGACGGTTGAAGAGTTATGAAATACCTGGAAATGGATGAAATAAACAAAACAAGTAGATTTAGATATGCGACGAATCATTAAATTATTAAGATTAGTCGATGTCGTTTTTAATAATCGTGGAAGTGCAGCTAGAACACTAAGTTGAGAGCACGCAATAAACTAATATGCGATAAGCAAAAAGCTTGAAATGCAAAGAAGAAGAAGAATAAGGGTCTAGGTTCTCTAACTAGGTACTTTCATAAGCAACGCTAAAGGTTGTTTGGGTGTATGGTTTAATATAGAGGTCTATCGCAATTTCTGGCTGTACATGAATATGTTAACCTCAATTCCAGCTGGCAGTCCGGCCCCATAATTATCATCGAAGAATTCGAAACAATTATCTCAATTATCGAGAGTAGTTTTAGCACTCGTGTACGGAGCAATATAGATTGGTTTTGTATCGCAATCAGAACATTCTGTCGATGATTAGTGGCAGCCCAATCCTCTCTCCCCGCCGTAGTGAACTGCCAATAAGTTGCAGAACAACTTTCAAAACAGAGATTCTTCCCACCGCATGCAGCAGCCACCAGAACCGCGAAAATTTATCAGCGTGGGCAATTCTCTTGTTTCGCGGTTTCTTGTTCCGTTCGTCCTTGACTCACCCATCATCGAGAAGAACGCGTTTTTATTGGTGGTACAGAACAGTGCCTGAAGTGGCTTTAAGTAGGTTTATAATACCAATCTTTTAACCGATCTCACCACCATCATCGCACGCTCCGTGGCCTGTGTCCGTTCCTACCTTTCTGTCCCTGACCGGTCGTTTACTCGATCTCGAACAACACGAAACCCGATCGCGATCTCGTTCATTAAGGTACGTCGTACTTTGGCCGGCCACATCGGTATTGACAGAGATACCACTTGCGCTCACGCGAAGATCACGTCCAAGAGGTAATTATTTTAATCCAGCTCTCAGCATCCGCCCGACGCAGGGTGCCACCGCCGCCGCCGTACCGGAGCCCAATCAAATGGTCCAGCACTCGGGAGTAATCTAGATAATTTTATACCTCGCTGTCAGGTTTTTTTTTTCTGCAACAAACTAACATGTTGTCACACGACTACGACTTCTTGTACGAGAACGCCTGCGCGAATGACGAAGACGATGATGACGGCGACAGTTGATCGCGCAGCCTGACAAGAACGTGGGCTTCTCGAACGATGCAAGCGGGGAATGTCGGTTGTTTATCAACCACAGTCAACCAGCAGAGTGCAGTTGCCGCGATTAGTAAGGCTTCTTGAGCGGTGATGATATCACATTGAGATTTTCAGCCCAGCTTAGAAAATTTATCGCATTCACTTACGGACCGACGTCCGCTGGTCGCACCGGAATCGCTCTACTTTCCAAAGTGTCCAATATTGTGACAGTTATGAAGGTCATTAGCGGACACCCCAATAACATGTCATTTCACGGAAGTGGGTCCACCTAATTAAGGCCTCACATTAGTGAAACCGAACACGAAAATCAAATTAAAGCCGCGGGGCTTAAAAATAGGCCCCACAAACAGTCATCATTGTGTTCCGTGGTTGAAACCATACATTCTCATTTCCTCCCAAACATACCTACAAATTCGCCTATGTTGAAGCTTTCCGATCGGACTAGATGCAGCTTGATTTTCTTATTTGTGATGTGTATGCACCAGTAGAAATGGTCTGACGATCTCAAATCAACGGAGATATCTCCACGTTGCGAATAGAGTTGAGAGAATCTGAATCGGAAAATCAGTTGTAAGCTTTTAATCCTTATCACGGATTGCGGATCTATTTGCTTTTTTGCTGAAGGAAGTGTTACTGATACCTAAAGCTACAACAAATTTAAACAGCACTTTGCAGTCCTAAATATTACCTGTAAATGTTCTATGTACCTTGTTCGATTCTTATTCCTCTTCGATAATTGTTTGGACCCTACACGAGGTAATCCTGCTTGGATATCGATTTGCATAATTCCTCTTCGATCCTTAGGATTTTTATAGTAATCTGCTTGGAAGTCGATTTGGAGAAACATTCTTCTGCCGTCATGGCACCTAAACGCATAAGAATAGGGCAATCTCTTGATCCCCCTTCTGATGAAATTTATTTGAGCAATCAATTTGATTTGCTTACAGTTGATGAGAGTGATCCATCATCCAGGAAAAAAATCAATAAACTTTCCCGGCTTAATGCCAAGAACGAAAAGGTCCCCCTATTGTGATAACCAGTTCCGATTTCCATGCTCTTTGCTCGGAACGTTTGAACTTCATTAAATTAAAGTTTTCACTTCAAATTGTCCGGATGAATGCCGTGTATTGGCTGATACCTTGGACGGGTACAGACGTACACTTATGACGCTAAAACTGCACGTCTGTTCAAGGTTGTCATGCCAGGTCTGCCCAATCGTGAATCCCTGGATCAGTTCAAAGATGAATTGACAAAATTACTTGGAGTTGAGCCAGTCCAAGTAATCCAAATGAAAATGAAATCCCGTCCTGGCGATTCGCGCAACGGGATTTCTAATGATTTCTATTGAGTTCACTTCAAGTCTAGTGAACTAAACAACCTTAAGGCCTTGGAAAAAGCTAGCCTTATGCTCCATGTCCAAGTGAAGTGAGAACACTTCAGGAAGACAGGAGGAAATTTCCAAAGCCTTACCCAGTGCCGCAAGTGCTAGGGATGGGGTTACGGAACAAAAAATTGCTACATACATGCTAAATGCATCGTACTATTTTAGCCCTGTGAAGGAAGATCATAAGAAATTTAAATGTTCAAATTGTGGTGAAAACCACAAATCCAATTTTTGGGAATGTAAGACTCGCAAAGCGATCCTACAATCTCGTTCTAACCGACAGGTAAGAAACGCTCCACGTTTCCGAACAGGTACAAATTCCTCTGCTGTTAACAACGGTCAGCGAGGAACAAATTCTACATTCGTACCCGTAGATACTAATATCACCCCTGCTTTAAATTCTTCATCTACACCTGCTGCCAATAATGTTCAGCAAGTAAATGGTGGTACCTATGCAGCTGGTAGAAATCGAATTCAAAATTCTACCCAACATAATATTAACGGAAAGTTTGATGATTTTGACTTAGAAGCATTACTGCTCCTAAAATGGAATTTTTACAACAATCATTAATCAACATTATTGCTATTCAAACTGGAGTAAAATTTGCGAACAATATCGTCATGACTTCGAAATTCAGTATTGGATTTTAAATTATTAAATATTTTGAATTGGACTGCTCGATCTCTAAAAGCTAATCAAGACGTGCTATTTAACTTTTAGAGAGTTCAACTTTATAGCTGAAACAGGCTGAAACGATCCTTAAGCATAGGGCTACCATTTCAAAAACTTGAAAAGGAGGACATTTCATTTGAGGTTTGGAGATAAAGAAGGACAATGTTTCCTTTTCTAAAAATTCATGATTTTCAAAGGTTCAATTAAGATTGTTCATAACTTGTAGTCATTATCAATTCAATTTATTTTCCCGTCATACTTCTGAAAAATGCATCAACCTAGCCTTCATAATTCATTTTTGATACTTGGAAATTATCTAGCCTAGCTGTTTTACATGAAACCTACAGCTTTACAGCCTCAACCATACCATGCCACCTTTTATTATGTACAAAAATCATGATACATGTCATCTCTGATTTTTTTCAGTCGTTTATTTAGAAGGCTCAATCGCGTTAGCTTTACGGAGCCGATATTTCATTGTTTTTTGTTTATAACAAAATTCACTTAATTCTATGTCTAGTGGAAGTTGGGCCCAATACTCGCGGCTTACTCGAGGTTAGAAGGGTACATAGTCGAAGGATAGGATAAGGAGAGGAGCTTAGGGGTGGATTTTCGTTGTCTCATCAGAGCGTTGTCGCCAGTATGATCATCGCTGATTGAAATCAACACGAAAAAGAAACATCTTAGCTACCTAATAATTTTACCATTGGTTCAGCATAGGACTAAAATCCCATAGAATCAGAACGTCAAAATCGAACATATGTTGGATTCAATCTATGGTTGTGTTCAATTTGGTGAATTCTCACTTAAATTTGACACTTCGAAAATAAATTATAATTTTCGAAAATCCATCTGTTGTTGATCGTCCGATTTTCGAGAAATTGCTTGTCAAAATTGATTCCTGGTCGGTCAGAAATAAGTCTTATAGAATAAGATGTTTATTTGAAAACTTTTCCATCAGTCAAATTTAAGTGAAAATTCACCAAATGTATCAGAGTCTAAACGTAGGGAGGTTGACAGCTGTAGTATACTCCTGGTCCCACTATCGAATGGTATTTGCTAGTTAATATGAGGTTGCGACATAATTAAACAAACATGCTCTGCATAAAACGCTCTTTGAAAACTATTTTATGAATATGTTACTAGAAAAATGCAAGGATTAAAAAAGGAGGATACATAAAAAATATTGATAAGGAAGACTTGTTCCTCCTAAAACCTGAGCATAAGGTTAAATGGGACGCAAATTATAACATTTATCGAAATGACCATCATCATTGTTCCTAAGCATATCAAACATCAAATTCACTCTTCATTTGAAACCAAAGTTTTGAAACTTTGAGAGCTTCTATTGAAACAAAATTTGGACAACTTACGTTTATAGCTGCATATTTGCCATTCCAATATGTAGGCCAGCAAAAGAATTTTCTCAAGGATGACCTTCAGAAATTTATCCGTCATAGGTCTAAATTTTCATTATTGATGAAAAACACCGCTCAAGGAATAATACTCAAAGCAATTCCAATGGTAATATTTTGTTTGGTGATTGTTCTGCAGGTTATTACACTATTCAATATCCAAACAGCCCAACATGCTTTTCATCAGTGAGAAATCCCTCAGCTATTGATTTGTTCTTGAATTGATTCATGTCAATATTAGAATATCTCAAGAAATATATTATAACGCCAACATCTTCTTCTTTCTTCTTCTTCGCATTTTCAAGCTTATTGCATATCGCATATTAGCTTATTGCGTGCTCTCAACTTAGTGTTCTAGATG